TAAAAAAGAAGAAGGGGAGATAAGGACGATAGATGTTTGATAGGAAAGAAGTGCCAAAGATTAGTGTAACCCGGGAGAACGAAACACAAACAAAGAGGAGGAGAGACAAGGACGGCAGATGTTTTATAGGACAGAATGAGGAGAAAGCCACACCAGAGCATCCGCCAACTACCCACATAGTTTGTTTGAGTTTCAACAAAGAAACATATCAACAAAATACGACAGACAGTCAAAAAAGAAAGTAAGACATACCAGTGACACCCTCAAACCACCCACTCCCTGTACTTAGAGACACATTTATTATATATAAGCACAAGTCACTATTATCATAACTATGCAGAACAAGTAAAAAAAATCAGGGGCTATAGAGCAAGGGCAAATCTCCCATAACATTATGGGGAGGGAGGGAGAGAGGGGAGAGACCGAGGATGGGGAAGGAAAGAGTGGGAGGGGGAGGGGGGGGAGAGACAGAGGAGGGAGAGGGGAGGTGGTGGGGACATACTTTACTTTTCCCCGAAGACACACAAGTGCATGCGACAGACCTGATGCTTGCCCGAGATGGCCGACCCGTCGGAAGCTCGCCTCACCGGAGAGTAACGTTCACTGGGCAGGTGGAGGGCGTGGACATCCTTGTACGAGTCCCGATCTACACAGACAAACACATACAACATGTTCATTTTTATTATATGAACTACTGTTCAGAGTTCTTAGTATTACTCACATGAAAAGAAAAGCATAAAGACTCAAAAGATTATTTATTATTATTATTATCTATCAATTAAATTAATTTATTATTAATTCGTTTATTTGTTATAATCATTTATTTATTACTTGTCGATTTTTTGCACAACCATAAAGTGGTACCTATCTTTTCATTGCCAGTATAAATAATATACTCAATTCCCATAAAGCACACCGAGTTTCCAGATTCATATGAATAAACAGAAAGACGAAAATGACAGTGTGGTCAGGCGCTTCACCATTGCACACAGAAGACCCAAGTCTCGCATGGGGAGAATGTTTATCCAGTAACTCAGCCTGGTATATACTCAACAAACAAGCAGGTGCAAAGCCCGCCAGTTAAATGATCTAAAGTGTGTCCATGGTTGTCAAAAACACTTATAGTGAAACCACTTACACACCGAACATGGTTATAAAACCAAAGGCAACAGTAAATCGAAAGAAAAGAAAATCCCAAACATTGTTTCCCTACTATTTGAGCAACCTCTCTAAACCAAAAACTCAGCTGACCCTAGGATAATCCAGTGGTCTTGTAAATTTCGCATTAAGCAGACTTCATTGCTTTATTTTTAAAAGGAGGAAAATAATTGCTTTTTATTATTCAATTAAAAAACAAAACAAAGGCAATTCGGTGTAATGAAAAAGCAAGATGAGAGAGAGAGCGAGAGAGGGAGAGAGAGAGAGAGAGAGAGAGAGAGAGAGAGAGAGAGAGAGAGAAAGAGAGAGAGAGAGAGAAACAGATACAAATATA